TGCAGGAAAATATTCCAGAGCCACTGCCTGTGGAAGACGAGAAGGATGCCTAACTCCCTCCCACGCCTGCTGTAGGCAATCCCATTCACAAGTCTGGAATGTACTGTGGGTAGCAAATGTCTCAACATCAGGCACTGGGGAGGTGTGTCTCTGTGTTTACGCATACGTACACAATTTTAGTTTTCTAAGTCCCAAACTAAATTTGCTTCAATTGTACTTTACCTGAAAGAACAGGCAGATAAGTAAACCGAGAGTTCAGAGACTGATGTGCTGCATAAGTGCTTTGAATAGAATGTGAATGGATGGATTTGGATTTCATCATACATACAACAAAATTATGAATATGCATGGAAAAGTTACTGTTTAATACCACAATACCAGTAAAAAGATACGTTCTTTAATGAAGCATTCTGGGGGAAATTGTATAGTTCGGACAATTTTAATGGGAGTTTGCAACTTAATATTTTAATTCCACTAGAACATTTTAGAACAGGAGAAATTTGGATTAGGTATTGACAGTGCCACCTGATAAAATGCGTGGTGAAGTTTGAACAGCAGATGTCTCACCCAGGGATGCTTCCCTGGGGAAACAGCAGGAACCTCCTGTACACTCACTTTGCCTGGCATTCATCTCCCGACCAGCTGCCAATTTTAAACTATAGCAAGTCTCTCAGTTTATAGTCCTTTCAAGCTAAAATCTGTTACATTTGGGGAAAAATAGCAATACTTATGTAAATCAATAATTGCATTGTACGTAATACAGTAAATCTATAACATGCCTAGAGTGACACTAACAACATCATGCACGGGTGTGCCATCAAGCAGTACGTACAAGGCAATTCATATGCATTAGAGTCTGACTATATCTTGTTCAAGCACTCATTTTGTTTGGCACAAACAGCCTTCTTTTTGCAACCAAAGAATAAATATCACTTTGTTTCATCACCTTTTTTTTTTTTCCTCCCCCTTCAATGGAACTATTTGCTAAGGCTAAATCCTAGCTTCCATTCATATCACAGTTCTGTTTATAGTTTAAATATGCTACACAATGATGATTACTGATGTCTATGCTTCATTCTGAGCTGCAGAACGCTGGACAAGCAGCCATGCAGAAATGTGGGGTTTTTTTGTATCAATGAGATTTTGAAAATTAGAGATAATAATAGAAAATAAAATACTGCATGTCTGCAGAAGACATCATGAAAAGAGCATTAAATTAGCTACCCTTTCATTCTATATATTTCACTCTCCCGTTTTTTGTTTTTGTTTTTTTTTTTCCCCCCTTATTGGTGCTGTTTTTTGGTCTATGACAAGTTCCAGTGCTGAATACAAACATTTTTAAAGATTTCTTTACTGCTTTTTTGGATAATTAAAACTGAATACTTTTTAGTATTATTTTAAGTGAAAACACACTACATATGCAACCTGACCAACTCAAAGATCTTAAAGCCAGGACAGGTGCAGTCGGAGTCAATTGTTACAGCTGCTTTCTCAAGGATACCCAAGCACTTCCTACTGTTGAAAAAAGTCCTATTTACATATATATTTTTTTAAATAGGCATGAAAGAGATTTTAACTCTCATACAATCAGTGGAGCAGACTGAAACTGAAAGTGCCAATATGTAGGCTCTGCTTTTACATGCATTTTATTCTTATGAATTCCACAAGATAGTAATAGGAATCAGAATTACTAATGCATGCATTTGGTACAGTTTTTCAAAAACGGAGAGAAAAAAATCTTAAATAAGAGAGGGATTTTGTATGTCAGGGGGAAGTTCTTCACAGAGGGAGTAGTGAGGCGCTGGCACAGGCTGCCCAGAGAGCTTGTATATTCTCCATCCCTAGAGGTACTCAAGACCAGGTTGGATGGGGTCATGGGCAACCTGGTCTAGCACCAGATCTGGAAGCCTGCGGCCCCGCCTATGGCAGGGTGTTCAGAACTTGATGATCCATGGGGTCCCTTCCAACCGAAGCCTATGATTTGTCTTATATAATTTATAAAGAAACCGCAAATCAATTATCACTTTTATACTGGAGATTGACAATGGCATGCCCATTTGGCTCTATCTGCGCTTAGTCTTCATTCTAGTAGTTTTATGCTTAATCAAAATTTTGAGTGGGGTCTCTGATTTCTAATTCCATTTTGGCACACATTTATCCTTGCCTTTTACTTTTAAGAAAAGGATTACCACTCATGGAATTGTGAAGGACCTCAGCCTCTCAACCGCAATTTAAACTTTCAGTTCTCAAGCCTTGAAATGTTGCTACCATTTTGTTAGATAAATGTTGAGTTAGATCCCATCTAAATTTAGCCCATATTTTCCATCTAAAAAAACATTTCTATTGATCTTTCACTATCAACATCCAAATAAATAACATTCACAGCAAAACTTACCAAGCAAAACTTTAAACTAAATGATAAAACAGTTATTAGTAGGAAAACATAAGAAATGCATCAGCAACCTTGTAAAATATTGATAATGTCTACCATTTTAAAGGCTACTTATACACCGAATTTTACTAATTTTAAAAAGCTCAGATTGCTGCCCAAAAAATTTTTACCCTTAATTCAATAATAGTGGAAGTAAGAAGCCTATTCTTTGCCATACCCCCAGCAATATCTTGTCCAGCAGAACCATTCAAATGGAAGGATGAGACAGATGTGACTTCCTTAGCTTGATTTCAGAGTTAAGTCTCTCCCAGTAAGGCATTCTATTTATATACATATATATTTTTTTTTAAATACTTGGACCTGCACTGAGGAAGTAGAGCAGAGTCAAACTATGTTTGAACATTGCTGCCTCCTTGAGTTTCAGCCTTTTCCTTGATGAAGTCTTGAAATACTAAGGGAATTACACCCAATAATTTACTCATCGGACCCTTGCCCTTCACTACTTGTTAAAAAGCAGTGCTGAAATCTGTCTCCAATTTTGCCATAGGTATTTGAGAGATAACATTGGAGTAAGTTTTGATAATACAGGTGTCTTTGATTCCTGTCACGCTGTTTTAAGCACAGATTTTGTTACAGTTATGGGATAACAATGACTAATAACGTCTTAGGGATAGGTACAGACAGTGTACAGGCTGTCTTTCTTAAATCTATTTCTTTCCCATGTTAACTATAGGGTTTTACTCATTAGCATGAGTTAGCTTGTCTTCCTGGACAATTTCTTTCCCCTGAAAAATATGAGGTTTTTTTCCTTTTCAAGGACCACAACAAAAGCCTTTTACTAAGCTTCATCTTTCTTCACTCTCATTTAAGATAGGACAGGATAAGGGGTCTTCCCATTCTGTTTCTATATTTCACCCCAATTTTTGTTAGGTAGAAAATACAGTCACCCGTTTAGCAAGAATTTCTGAAGTTACTGTCTGGAAAAAGGGCAATTCCAGTCAGTATGCTCATTGTCCCAGAGTGGCTATAGTTGAAATATAGTGATTTTCATAGTAATTCTTCATGCATTGTAGGATCACTTCTACATTAAAGAGATTGTCTTAACATTAACATCCATACATTATTCATTGGTACCTCACCTTTGTGGTAGGCGTTACACATCCAAGATGCAGCCTCACAGCACAGCAACATAGACTAGACTGAAAGCTTAGAAAAATACTGAAATTTGGATATATTTTACATAACATTTAGATACATGCATTATCATTACTTTTAGATATTAGACTTCAATTTCTCTTTGCTTGTCCAAGAAGAGGTATCTGAAGTAAACACAGTGAGTTCAGTCCATTGAAGACAACAGTAAGACTGGAAAGTAGTGAGATGACAGAGAGAGACAAACCACCTCTAATGGGATTTACCAGTTACATATGAGGGCTACAGATTGGCTGCTCTAACTAATTAACTCTAGCTATGCATATACAAATCAGGAGATAATCAGTAAACCAGAATCTGTGAACCCACTATCACAGTTCTCAGTCTCAACAGTAAATGTCCTACAAAAGTTTTTTCTCCTATCTGAATTTCTTGAAGCAGTTTAAAGACTGAGTGATGTCCTTGCTATCCCCACTCTTCCTTGGAATAGCAATGGCAAGTTGTTTTATTTTGTATTTTTGTGTAACTGTTCCTCTAATTACCTGTTTCACACATGAAAATATACTTACTGATTTTATTTGCCCTGGAAGCTGTTTTTTTAATACATTCATCAGTTGAAATTCACTTTGAGTATTTCCCAGTATCAAGAATTCATACGTTTTAAGTAGCCATTACTTTTACATCAAGAAGTAACTTCAGTATGGATAGAGCTATGGAACATATCAGTTTCTATGATTTAATTTTGATATACTGATATGCATTAAAAGTACACAGTGAGTGTGAATGTGAGACAACTTACACATGTCTATTTTCCATCAGTGATCAAAGAAAAGGCAAACTGCAATAGATTATATGGAACCTATTAAATACAATCATCATGAGCATTTCTTTTTAGAGAGGGTTAATTTTTAGTGAGGGTTAAAAATCACGTGACTAAAAGCTCTTTTCCATTGTCTGTACTTTATACCTCAGGATATAAATCCATTTTGTAATTACTCCCGTCTTATCTCAGAACTTTGCTTGACACACCATTCCATATGTTTATGATTCTCTGAATGAAGAAGTGTTCCCTGACAACCATTCAGATTTTTTCCCTTTTATTTCCATTTATGCCTTATTGTCTTATAACATTCAAGTGAAAATATATGTTGCAATATTGTGTGACATTATCTGTATTACTTAAGATTTTATATAGCTGTACATCCACCAAACATCAGATAAATCTCACTCTTCTCTTTTTCTACCTTCCCCCCCTGCCCCATACATCTTCCCTTCCAGATCTGTATAGGTAGCAGATTCAATTTAGTCTCTATGACAAGTTGACTTTAAGCATTTCTTACAAACCTAGGACAGAATGCATCTGCAATTTTATCAAGTCATTTTGAAAAGTGAGCTACACATGCAACATTTGCTAAGCCCTCTCTGCAATTAGGAAAAATAGAAAAAATGCTAAATATTTGCACTCAGCAATATGTAGTATTGCTTATGGAACTTCATAGATTTACTAGCATTTGCAAATTGAGGAAACAATCCAGCAACACACGTGAGACAGAGCTTCAGGACTGGAACCCTATATAATATTACCTGACTAATTTGCTGGACTTGCTAATAAATAACGAAGTTGCACAAGAAAGGTACAAGTGATTTGTAATCCTGCAATAATGGCTTCTAAATAGTTAAGATTACACTGAGAGATGAGAACATTTTTCCCCCCAGTATGCCATATACCAGCAGGGGACAAAAATCAATCTTGTGAAGGCTCTGATTACTTGCACTGCAAGTTTCTTGTCAGCAGATTCAAAATGTGCAGTGGAATGAATCTTCTGCAAGGTAGAGGTGCTGTCTATCAGCTGGGCATCCTTTCTCCATTCTCTCCCCCCACTTCAACTTCCTGTGGAATATGTGGTTGCGATAAATTAGAGGAAGAAGAGAAAATACAAGATGCTTCAGCACAACCATTTTAATCCTTTACTGTCAATATGACACTAATTTTACTGTCTTCCACGTGATAAATGTATCCTTGAGGTGGGGGTAATGAGAAAGTTCAGGAACAAATGAAGGAATCATACTTGTCTAAAATACAATGCAACTTGAGTGTATACAAAAAAAATCTGTTCAAGGGACAGTGTTTAAATCTATTAAGGTCTGTAATTTAGCCTAGAGAAAAGACAGTCAATAACATGCAAGCTGATACACAGCACTTTTTAGAAAATGCCTGAAAAAATATAGGACTAGTGCAACCATACCAGAAAGGTTGAAAAAAAAAAAAAAAAAAACAAATTATGTTCAGAACAGAGTATCAGACATATTTTATCTTTCTAGTTACCCAAGCCAAAGCCACATCTAGTCCTTGTCAAGTTTCTGAGTCTCTGCAGTAAGGATTTTGGGAGGTTTCCAATTGGGTTTTTAACCAATGGAACTTTTAAAAAAAATTAAATGAAATTAAAAAAAAAAAAAACAACCCTTTGCACTTTTAATAAAACCTAAATACTTCCAGTGAACAATGAAAGAAATTGTTTATTGAAAAGAAAAAAAATTAATCATTTGCTTTAACCATGCTTTCTCTTAGTACTAAAGAAAAGGATGTTGCACTACTGCTTCAGCGAGAAGGAGTGAGTGAATCCTTATAATCAGTTTTGATGCTCACAGAGCTAATTGCCAGGTCCACCCTGCAACTTATGGAATTACTGCTTCCTTCTTCCCATCTTCAGTACTCTTCATTAGCTTCAGAAATGAATTATGAGTTCACAATAAATATTCTCAGAGTAACGCATTTTATCCCAGAGAACTTGAAGAAAAATGTTTGCCAAATGGAGAACTAAGCATTATTAAAATTGACTGCCCTAGGCCTGTTGTGGTCAGCACAGAATAATACTATGCAACAGCTACCAGGTTGAACATCCTGTGAGATTACTAATTTATTCAGTCTCCTGATAATCACAACTAGACAGACAGGTTAATGAAGAAATGCAGATGGAGAAAGACATGGCCCAGCATGGAAAGGATGATGCTACTCCTAGCTTTCAGTTCCAAATTCTACCCATCGCATTTTTTCCCCCCATCTCTCAATATTCTTGCCTCCAGTATTATTCAAATGTATGAGCCAAAATTGCTGATTTTATAACTAGTAGACTGAGATACTGTTTGAAGACAAAAAGTAAGGAAATACCTGGTTTTAACAGGTATGTAGCTGATAGATTAATTAGTTGTCATAGTAGTTGATATTTTGTTGTGCATGCTAATCAGATTCCCAAAGGCCAAAATTACTCCTAGCACTCACATTAACACTCACACTGCCTCTCACAATGGCACATATACCACTGTCAGGAGAAGTCAGAAATCATTTTGAGGGTGGATAGTGATAGGACAAGGGGAATGGTTATAAGCTGAGACAGGGGATGATTGGGTTAGATATTAGGAAGTTTTTCCCACACAAAGGGTGGTGATGCACTGGAACAGGTTGCCCAAGGAGGTTGTGGAAGCCCCATTCCTGGAAGCATTCAAGGCAAGGCTGCATGTGGCTCTGGGCATCATGGTCTGGTGGTTGGCAACCCAGCAAATAGCAGGGGGTTGAAATTAGATTGATCATTGTGGTCCTTTTCAACCCAGGCCATTCTATGATTCTCTAAAAGTTAGCAATCTTCAGAAATCAGCACTTGCAACTTCAACTCCTTTCCTGCAGGAAGCCATACAGAAAGGGGAGGCAGACCACTGTGAACTTTAAAGGGCTTTGAACAGGCTAGTACGTCAATCCTTCAACTTGTGTTTGAGTTCTGTGGAGAGGAAGTGAGAGGAACTTTTTCATACTTTCCAGTGATCCACTATAGGAGCACTATAGACAACATTGATTTCAGGCAAAAAAAAAAAAAAAGATACTGCTACATTTCTGTTTCTGTCACCAACAGCAACATAAATCATTTTTTCCATGCTACCAAGTACTGAACCGTGTACCACACATGCCTGTATCTAGCATAAGTAAAAATCATAATCTGGAATTTGCTGTTTATTCAAATAAACTATAGCTTGAAACAAAATTGCCATCAAAAAATATAATACCTTTGAGACCATTTTCAATTCCCCATCCTCCACCAGCCTCTTGCTCTATTTCTCACAAGGCAGAGCTGAACTCAAGCATTGCTGTTCCACACAGTGCTCATTATCTGAATGAATGAAAACCTTTATGAATGATTCCCAGTTGTCAAATACCATATTACCTCACACAGGAAACTACAGTGTTGATAAGGTGCCTTGTGGGCTTTAGGTTCAAGTGCATTGCTGAAGACCTGGGGGAAATTAAGGGAGTGGCATTTCAGTTACCTCCAATTCTGTCTGCTGTCACCAAGGTCCCACACGAACATCCAGGAAGGAAAGGATGGAGGAGCAGAGGCACCAGACTCTCTCCAACATGATATGCAGAAGTAGTAGTGGGGCCCTGACCAAATCACACAGGTGAATTTGGTAGTAGTACTGCTTTGACTGATGTTTCCCACATACATTACACACAAAAAGTTAAAATAGTCTCTTTACACTACTACCAAAGAAAAAGAGAGAGAGTACAGATTACAGTAAAGGGAGATTCAAAGTTGGCCACTGCATTTGAATTGCAAAGGAGCGATCAATTAGTTTATCATTAATCAGATAATTTTGGGGATAGTGAATAATATGAAATGAAAAGAAGAAATAACTAGCGGGATAATTTTCAGGAACCATCTCTCAGCTTTATAAACTAATCTTCCTCTAATGGCCCTTTTTAATGTAATTTATAGGTTCATCATTACCCTTTTTGTATTAGTAATTATTTCTAAAATACCAAAGAACCATCTTTTTTTCAAGGTCCTTCTATGTACCTGATTTACAGCTTGGTTCCTGCTGGACTCTGTCTTTCTGAGGTTTGACATTTCAAAATATTTATAGCTCTTTTACATTAATGCCTTTCTCATGAATCTGAAGGTGACCGTTATTTCTTTCATCTTGTTGTAATTAAATGGATCAACTATGGCTTTATTATTTCTACTATTTATCTGAGCAGCACGTTAAAAACTTTCAGACAAGCAAGTGATATTGAACATTATGTGAATTATAACAAACAAATATTTCCTAAAACATAGGGTGCACTTGATGCATTGGCTAGGAAATTGTTCCAAGCGAAAGCACAAAATCTTTAATATTTTATTGATCAGATCTAAACCTTCTGCCCAAAGTGGCAATTAAATTTCAATTAAACTGACTGAAAGCATCATATTAAATTTCAGCACTTTACGAGCTATCAGATAATGCTGCAGGACAAATCTTTAGTATGATCACACTCTTTTCAAATTATATTATCCTGTTCATTCACAATAAAAGTGACAGTTTTAGGTATACTTTCAATATTTCTTGAATATAAACCCTCTAATGAACACATTTTATTGCCTTTAAATCAATTATTATTGGATATTTTAATAAAGTGAATTGAGCACTTTGTTTTACACACTGCTTAGAAGTTATTATATTTTGCAGTCAGCATAGCAAAGAACAGTAATAGTATGAAAGAAAGATCCAAATACCTAGCATACTATAAATTTAATCACCTATTTACAATGATGAATATGCTACATTCTGTTGCACTACAGCTACTAGTACAACACATTAATTAATATCTGATTAGATCTTCAGACATTGGGTCTCACTTCCTTCACCACCACAATTACATAAATGAGATAAGCTTAAGATAACACAATCAGAATTACAAGCACTGAAAGTGCTTTTAGAGTATTGCAACATACAAAGACAAATATCTTACTGTTTCTTCTCCCTTTGTTCCACTTGTTCTGTGTGAATGCTGATGCTTAGAATGACCAAAAAGCACCTGGATACAGATAAATTTGCTTAAAGCAGAGGTGATTACCATTCAAGTCTCCTTTTGAGTTACACACATACACATGTTTAAGTGTAAATAACATTAACCAGGTTTTTTTTTTTTTTTCATGAAATATAGATGAGGCATCAGGCAAATCTAACACATGACTGCAAGTAGTCAAATTTCATTTCACTTAGCAGGTGTTTGGGCATGTTGAACTGAATACATTTGCTGCCTGTTGTAAATAGGAATCTATATTGATGTTAGAAGTTTACTGTGTTTTTATGGGTGAACACACAAAAATAATTATTCAAAAAAGAAACATTATTTCCTAGATGGACTTTTACAGTACTGTACTGTCATTATGAAGGGAAATGCCTATATTCTATACCCTCAGAATTCCCTCCTTCTGCAGATTCTGCTTTCAAAAGGGAAACAGGTAACACAGTTATTTTAGGACACTGCTTTCTGTCAATGATTCACTACCACTGAATGATTGCCTATGTAGCATCTTAAGTCCTTAAAGGTAATCATCATTTTCAGGCTTTAGGAATTGCAGAATAACACACCAAAAGAAGAAGTCCATATCTCCTAAGAATAATGTGCTGTTGCACTGCTTTTATTTTAATATCATACCAGTTTTCCAAAGAGAAGAAAAGTGTAACATTCTGTTGCATTTGGAGTAAAACAAACATCAAAGGAGGTAAACACAAAGGGGGCAAAAGCCCACTTTTTTAGAGCAATATGTTTGGTTTTTTTTTTGTACAGAGTTAAACTAAGAAATATATTTTGCAATACAAAGAACAATATTCTAGAGATTGCACAATTCCATATGACTAAGTATAATTTGTTTGTTTATACACCTTTCTCATTCTGCTATTCTTCTCCCTTGGGAGCAAAGAATTAGGCATGCAAGGAAATAGGGAAGGAAAAAAAAAAAAAAAAGCATTAGTTTGTAACCAGGACTCTTCATTTTTCAGTATATGTGAAGGTAAGAGAAGTCCTGCAGAGGGTAAAACAGTACACAAGTAACTAAGTAAAGGAATTGGCCTCCAGAGCAGATGTTCATGCTGTCTCAGCAGGCAAGGACAGTACATGCTGCATCAAACAGCTCTCAGCACGTGCTTGCACCTCCCCTGACCCCTACACTTCCTGGCTTTGCTACCATGAAAGCACCACAAGAAAGGAGGTGTGTCTGAAGGCAGCATGGATGGATTTTTTTAACACAAATGAGCAGCAGTGTTTTGCTGTTTTAGGTTTTGTTTTTAATTAGGATCTTAAACTGCCTGTTTAAGCCCCTTGCCCATCTCCCAGCAATGCCCCTAGGAGCTGGCTGGTTATTGTGACTGCCATCAGCAACAGAGCACACATCAGCATATGGTTTCCAAGCTGCTTCCTTGTCTGCTCAACCTGGGGGTTGTGTAATATTTCCTGAGGTTCTGTCCCTGTCCACAACTCTCCTTAGTACTAAAGGACACGACATTGCTATCCATGCACATACCAAGTAAATGGAAGTAAACACATACGCTTACCTAAGAGGAGAGGCTAAGAAAGCAGGGACTAAGAGAAGAGGAGGCATGGCTTCAGTGGTGCCCAGGACAAGAGGCAGTGGGCACAAGGTGGAACACTGGTGGTTTCCTCAGAACATCAGGTACCACTCCTATGCTGTGTGACAAAGCACTGACACAGGCTGCCTAGAGAGACTGTGGAGTCTCCTCCTTGAAGATCTCCAAAAGCTACACGGACATGAGCCTGGGCATCCCTCTCTCCTTCTTTAGATACCCCTATTTGAGGGATAAGGCAGCAGGCAGCTAAACACCACACGGTTGTTTGCTCACTCTCCACCCCTATGTAATATGAGGGAGAGAACTGGTAACAAAGTAGAACTCCTGGGTTGAGATAAAGCTCTGCATGGCTTTTTGCAGGGGTTAGAGCAATGGCAGGACCTGCTGTTATCATCATCAGATCCAATTATCTCTTTGCTTTTAGGGTGCTGAAGAACTGAACAGAGTTCAGTAGACACAGGCCAGACCCCAGCACATTGGAGTGATCTGTGCATTTCTAGAGTTTCCAGCACACCTGTTCCAATTACCTTTATTTTTTATTTTTTTTTCCTGGATTCTACAGTTATTCAAGGATGAACTTGCAAATCATTAGGGGTGCCCACTGCTCTGAGTACTTGCCCATACCATACTATGTTCCCCAGCATTCAACTATCCAGCCTCAGGACAGATCCCTGGGGCATATTTGCAAATAATTATTTAACCTTAAACAAAATCTGAAACATATTCAGGTAATATCACAATAGTAACATGCTGATTTGCACATTCCCATTTGTCTTTCTCATAGCCTAGCTCCCTAAGGAGACAAAGTGCAGTTACAAATAGTTTTTAATATGTGGTTCTCAAAGTATGAGGATAACTACAATATTAAACACAAAAACCAGATTAGCTTCCTGACCAGTACAGAAAAATGATAACATTAATCTAGCCCTTGGAAATGAGGAACAAGGTAACACAGATCACATACAGCAAGTAAGGCATTAAATAGTAGAGTTCTATGGAGAAAAAAAAAAACCAAAAAACCTCAGAAATATCTCCAGAAACACAATAAAGAAAACAACACCATGCCCAACAACAACTAAGCTACTATAGGAAGAATTTTAACACACTCTACCCTGACACATTGTTAACACTTTGAGCTGCGTATTGGGCACCAAAAAGGTGGCTACAGTTTAACCTACCAGTAGCTTTAACTTAGCAGCAGCTCAGCACAACACAGCTGTTCGCTTACTCCCCCACCTCAGCAAGATGAGAGAGAGAACTGGAAACAAAACAGAATTTGCAAGATAAAAACTATTCATAAAGACAGTAAAACAAAAGTAATAACTATGCATACAAACATATATCTACAATACAATTACTCACCAGCTGCTCTCTAACACCCAGCCAAGCACCAGCCCACTACTGGCCCACTTCCCCACAGACTTATAGCTGCCCCACGTGGTATCAGGTGACCTGGAGTAACACCTGGCCTAACTGCCAAATTCAGGCCACCTGTCCTGGCTCCGACCCACCCCCAGCAGCCCTGCCATTAGGGCAGCAACTCAGTGCTTTTCTGTGGTTTGGTCTCTTTTTAGTCTGGATGTATGCTTGTTACTCAAAAATTGCCATTAACATTGGTGTGCTATCTGTGGTGCCTAAGCTGGAACTAAAGCATTACTTGGCCAGGATGGGGTGGGTCCTTGTCAGTTCTGTGATTTTATAGTTCAGATCAACTCAGGATATCCTTCAATGCGGCTTGGTTTATCCATCTAATTCAGAGTAATTGTGCCTAGTCTATTTGTCTTGGGTGAAAGTGGAAGGGGTTTTTCTCTTTGATTCCCTAAATATCCTTCAGATGCCTGCTCCATCTCCATGAAGGTCAAAGTATTTGTTAAAGCCAGGATATGAAATAGGGTGTATGAAAGAGTATGAAAGGCAAAAATATTTCCAGCTCATGCTGCTCAGACTTTGACTATTTTTAAAAAAAAATAGAATGAGGATTAGCATGAGGAAAAGCTATGTAAATGTTGGATAGCTTCTAAATATATTAATCCCTAGACATGGTCCTAAGAATAATTTTAGCTCTGTTTTAATGGTGCTATTGAGTGATTTCTATCACTGAATTTTATTTGACTGCAGAGAAATTCTGTAGAAAGCTGCTAAGCTTATATGATAATGGGAAAAGAGAGAAAGGAGGTGGAGGGTAGATAGAAGACAAAGCTTACCTAGTTTTGAAGGTATTTTGCATTTTATTGAATCCTTATAATTCATTCTATTGTGGCTCTATTGTTTGAGCCAATCCTTTTGAATCTGTAGTGAATCTTTTTGAATCTATCATAATAAACAGCTTTTACAGATTCTTCAAATACATTTGAAATTGGCACTGAAACAGAGCAGGTGGATTGAAGCCAACTTCACTGTACTATTCTTACTCATGTCTAGTAATATGCTGGATTTATTTATAATGCTAAGAAAAACTATGAATCTTGGCCAGCTGTACACAAGTGGATTTACATTTGTTCTCTAACATTCATGAAAAAGACTAGCCTGCTGCTTTAGAGTACGGAATACAATCTATCAGGCTCTCAATAAACTGAAGAATATATATGTGGTTCAACCTCTCTAATACAAAATTCAGCACTAGCAATGTGGAGAGGCCCAGAAAAGCTAGCAATAAAAGGAGATATACAGTATCTGACGTCAGATTGTTTCAAGCTTAATTTCAGTAAAATAATAAGATCAGAAAAAGAAATGCTTGGTGATGCAGAGCTTGGTGCTATCAGATAGAACTATGCATTGGCATCAAACAAACACTTTTTTTGTCTTCCTCTCATGTGCAGAGCACAAAGACACTCAGCATAGTCCCTACAGGTGTCTAACCACAAGATTGAGTTTATCAGCCCGCAGTCAAGAACAGTACTAAAACTAAGCTATATACACATTTATTAACACCAAAGGATATTACGTTACATTACTCTCATTTTTCCAAAGTGAAAATAATGTATATTTCCACCAATGCACACTAGAGTTGGCGAAGTGGACAGCTGTTAACTCCCAATCTTTAGAAGTATACACTACCACGGTTTCATTTTGCTTTCTTATGTAAGTATCAATAGGACAACAGGAGTGTGTAATGTAACTGGAGGCTAGTTCTTTTGTGGATTATAAATATTTTGCTTTTTAGATACTCTAAGAGTAAAATTTTTATTTGCTAATGGGTTTTTAGTGTCAGCTTTGAGATATCACTAAGAGGAAAACACAACCTTGTATCACCATGAATTGGAATTCTAATAGTTATTGGCTTGGCCTGACTAAAAAAGAACATTAAAACGTTCAGACTTGTTAGTACTCAGAGTGATGCTTCCCATACTTTAGAAGCCTCTGAGTCTTTTGACCTCACTTTGTTTTGCCACTAGCAGAGGTAAAGCACCAATCTAGAGAAAGCCACTTTTTCTAAGCGGAATCTTACTGTTTATGTCAATATTTTGCATAAAATATATGCTGGAAAAGTAACTCCACTGAGCTGCTCAGGAAGTATCAAGTCTCAGGTCTTCCTAAGAATACAGTCTTTTCAGTTTAAGAAAGATCTAGTTTGAAAGGTGCAATCCTGACTATTCTTCAGCACAGATGGGACAAACCAGTTAAGAGACTGGTATGTCCCATTGATTTTGATCATTTTGCAATTTTCAGAGAAGAACATCTGGTCATTTTAAACATTTGAGATATGTTAACTTAAAGTCTACAACTATTTTACCCTAAAAAATATATCTTAGTTTATACAAATACTGTACCTGGTGAAAACAGGTTAAAACTTCGTATTTTTCTCATGTAGTTAAATGATTGTTTACAAATTAACATTCTTGTTATTAATCTTCAAGCCATTTTTGAAGGGGAGGGGAGAATGTTACACTTTCCTCTATTTATATCCCATGTGTCTGTCCTCTGTCACTCTCTTTCCCTTTAATCTTGTTTGAGAGTATGGCTCACTCGTCCTTATTTTATTGACTCAATCACAGGCACACTGTCACTTTTTATAAAATGGTCACTGCAGAATCACATCAAGCAAATTCTTGATTCTGCAGTCAGTAATTTAGTGCCTTTATGGAATTGCAATTTCAGGGCTCACTGCTTGTTTTTCTAAAATGTACTTTAGGAATTAGTTACTCCAGCCACAAATCAGTTGAATTTATGCACAGTTGTAATACAGTTTATGGCCTCATGGTACATTGCTTCAAAAACAGCAGATGTGAAATTATGATAAATATAATGAGTGTTTTTTTGCCTGATCTACTGGAGTAGAGAAGGATCTGGAGCGTGTTTACCTATCCCATACAGTACATTTAATGTCTTAGTCAGGACTCCTGACAAAGGCTGATTAATGTCCTCATCTCTTTTATTAAAGATAAGAGTAGCACTGCAGTCAGGAGATAGAAAGCACACCATAAATCTTCGTAAAATGAGCAGTCAAATAATCACTCATCAGAAATAAAATCTACATACATTAACACTAACACTCAGCCTACCATGAGCACAGCCATAAAAAAAAGGGGGGGAAAGAACAGGCGGATTTCCGGAAGTTTTAATTTCAACTAGTTCTTTAAGTTTAATGTTACAGTTCCCGTAACCTGGATGCAAAAGCTGGCATTTAAAAGCACATGTGAAAGGACCAGATGCCTCGTCATTACATTAAGAGCATGAAGCAGGCAACAATTAAGCGATTCACTGGAAAGACATAATGCTGATCTATGCTAGCAATTAATCACAGAATACATTAGACAATGATGGGTGACCTACAAATTTTTGACAAAATAATTTTTCATCATGTTGGCGATTTCTTAGCCTAATATGCCTGCAAGGCACCGAGTCCAAACCTGTCATTTATTCCATCTCTCCTTGACAGGCGGCAACCTGTCTTCCAGACAAAATGAACATTATCTGTGCTCACTAGACATTTAGTGCAGGGCTTAGCTTATGACTAATGATAATAGGCAGACAGAAATGTTAGAGTCTGAAATAATGTTCTCTTTGTTAAAGAAATTTCTTGAGGTAGAATTTTTTTTCCCAAAGACAAATAAAGATAAAAACTGTTTTTATCTGATTTTTTTTAATGCAACTTTTGAAAACATTTTATTTTCTCCAAATAAGCAGAAAAAGAGAATGTACTTTTTTCTTTTTTTTTTCTTTTTCTCGAATTCGCAACCCGTAAGAATTTATGCTTCTTAATGCAAGAATTCAAGCTAGAAACTGATCACACAACAGGAATCTGAAGTATGAATTTCAATAGGTAGAGGATTAAAAACAATCTGACTTATTATTATCTGGGTTTAGTTGTCTTATTTTTGTCACTTTTACATATATAAAGCAGACTAAACCATTCATTTTTACCTGATAATATCACGTCTAAAAACTGTCCTCATATAATTCTCCTTATTCTATAGCTGTGGATGGAGAATTCAAGCTACTATAATAGAATATATTTTAGAAATGTAAAATGAGGAAAACTGGTAGTTTATTCACACTGAATTTTAGTCTTCATTAATATACCAGTGTTGTGCATTTTGGAGTAATCCACTGGGAGAATAAAATGTAAAATATTTCTTTGTTTTTGGTCTTACCAAATGTTTGTTGAACTGCAAATTCTTCCTAATGCAGGACCTGAGTGCCAGAAGCAGTGGAGACAGCAAACAGACCACAGAGTGTTTTCTGTTTGTAGGGTGAAGCTTCAGAAATGAAGTCTTGATTGAGCACTCATTCAGTTTTCGTCACACAAAGACTCTAGTCATGCTATTTTGTGCTGGGTTCTGTGCAAACAGAACAATCAACATCCTAGAGGATTTAGTTGAATTAAATAATCTTTTGCACCTTAGATTCAGGTTGGGCACACATTTGGGGTTTGATTTAATTCCCACTGATGTCTCTAGCAACTGATTTTACACTGATAAAAGGATAAAAACAACTAAGAGGACAAATTTTCAGGTCAAGAAAAAATAAGATTGGTTATTATCTCAGAAGACTAAAGTTGAATTTAAATGTATATAGTATATTTAATATGTATTTCAAATACTTCTGTAAGAACTATATTTTAATGACGGTAATTTCAACCAGAAGTGCATACTCTTAAAAAATATTTGGTTTATCTTATCAGGTATAATTCAACATCATTTACGAATTCATAAAGATTTGAAAAAATTAAGTAAAGATTTACAAAATCAAGTAGATTTTCTCATCTTGAGCCCAGTGGAACATTCTTTTTTGTTAATGCATAGTTGACCTGAATTGTTTCCTACCTATCTAACAAGCTGAAGCCAGCATCTTCCCTG